TTTCGAGGACAGATTGTCGAAACAAGATGTTCGCACTTCGATAAAACCAATTGCTAATTTTAATGCCCAAGAAATCATTTCACACATGCAATTTTTTCACTGTCTACAATTATATCTACAATTTAATACGTTTCCATAATCTTTATAAAAATATTAATACATTTTTACTCACATTTATATTCATAATTTAACATAAATCATAAATAATATTTCACTTATTTTGTTTTTAAGTTGTCCAAAATAAAAGTTAAAGTACACTTGAAATGATTTAATATTTATAATTTTTAATGTATATGTTCAATTTATACATATATCGTAAATATTTTGTTGATAAGATCATTTGCAATAGAATGACTCTCCGAAATATATATTTTAATAATATTTTACAAATAATTTTATGTTCACATTTTTCTCAATTAATAATCGTCAGCTAAGCATCTTTATCGTAATACATTTTTTAAAAATATTCCAACATTATTAATTATTAACGATCTAATTGTATCTATATTGTCAATTATCTTTACGATTAACTTCTCGTTTGCCTTCAGCGACAGATTTATAATTAAATTTCATTAGCTAAAATTAGGCGAACGGAGAATCTTCGCCTACACAATCACGTTAACCATTTGCATAATTTTAGTCATGAAATCTAATTACAAATCTCGTTACTAATGGTGAAGCAAAATTAACTAATTGTAAGGCCAGATTGCTAGACGTTCTCTTTTCTTCTAGAGGATATTTCTTAAAAGTTTAACAATAAGAAAATTCAAATAAAAATATTGATGTTTAAATTATTATGAAGATATTCGTCACTATATCCACATTCAGACTCTGGTTGACTCTTGACATTTTATGATTTAATATAAAGATGCCCGTTTTACTTTCTTCAAATTTTGTTAAGAAAGAGAATAGGTAATATAAGAGAATAAATAATACCCTTACGTAACTTATTAATAACTTCGAAATGCAGAAATTATCATGACATAATCAGTTACGTCATTGCAACAAAGGTCAAAAGCAATTTAATGCTGAAGCATTTAGTCAACTCTGGCATTCAATCAAATCAATTGTCAATGTGAACTTTTACACTCTCGACACTTTTTATATTATAAATCTTACATAACTTGGGCGTTATCCTATTGCATGAATCAGTTGATTTTGTCAAATCTCACATTTTGATCCGATAAAACACTGGGAATTTTGATGAGAAAATTTTTTCACTTTTCTCTCCAAAAGAATTACATGATTAATCAACTGACATCTGAATTCTACGTCACTTGCGCGGAAAACACGTTCACGCGTTTTTCTTTTAGATATTTATTGTCACAGCATTTCTGATTTCCTCTTACCTCGATCATGTTCGTTCGATGCGTAGCGCCCAACTATCTGCGAAACTGCCACGATGACACTTTTATATAAGTATACGTGTACGCGTGTGAACACCGGTCTTACCGTGATGAATCGATGTTTTATTTTCATGAGTCAAACGATGGTGATCCCCTAGAGGCAAAATTGCTTTTTTAATTATTTTTTCTTCTCTTTCCACTAAAGTTGTTACTGTTAACAGTCATCAACCTCCGCTTCTATTTGCAATGACGTCGACTTCTAGTCCTTTCGGGATTTCTCTTATTAATGTTGAAAGATAACTATAAAAAATTATGTGTTGATGAGTTTTAATCGTAGAAAATAACAAACTTTTTTCTTTTTATATGACATTAGGTGAAATGTATAATATTTAATACTTTTTTTTAGTGTGACGTCAGTTCTGATAGATCTTTTTGCACATATATTAACGTTGCGAAAAAATTTTCTTATATATATTCTCTAGATAGATTAATCACAAACGAATATTTAAAAACTGGTTTTATCGTTATTATAATTAAACAATTGCGATTGCTATTGTTACTTGCAAAAGTGTATAGATGATCTTTCACATAAGTTGTTTGTAAAATCAATCTATAATTCCATGTTTTCGCGAGAGCAAAAATAAGCCAAAGAGCAATGCCAACGATATGGAAAGCCTTGAATTTTCGGACAGAAATCGATGTTCTTTGAACATTGTTAACGTCTGGGCAATGCGATATACCACCTGTCTTGGAAAATACGTTGTTCCGACATATGTAATAAAACATATGCATGAATTATAAATATAAATCCATCGATTATATCATTATAACACTAGCAACGCGCAGTAATCATATTCTGAATATACTATCTCCAATAATTATTGTTTAATTGCAGAAGATCTACGTGAATTAGTTTGATTAAAGCAATTATTATAGAAGAGTTAGTCTGATTTCCTTAAGTTTTCGACAAATTTAGATCGATGCAAACACATGAAAATGTTCTATAGATAATATGTTCCTTCTCTCTTTTACAAATTTATTTATTTAGTGGACTAAAATATATAAAATCTAATATCTTCAAATTACTCTCGAAATTTCATTTCCGGAAATTACTTAATAGGAATAATCAAATAACGTTAAATTGACATATCCGCAATTACTGTTGGGCAAAAAAATATAAAATCAAGAAAAAAGGAAATATTAACTTTTATTAAAAAAATTTTTTTATGAAGCAAAGTAAACATGTTATTAACGTTCTTTAAAGTTGAAATTTACTAATTGCTATCGTTAATAATTATTCTTAAACTTACTAAATCATGTTTTTGTAAACCACGATGAAAAAGCAATTTCGCAAAAACTGTTGAATCTCCCAGATTGGTATCAATTGGCGCGTCGACAGTTCTGCGTACATAAATATTATCTTCAAAGATGAGAGTGAGTTTTGTAGTAGCCCCTAGGACGGCATTTATTTGTTGAAAATTACCCGATCAGTTTTATCCATTTATAACAGTCTATTTACGCACGATTCGCAAAAGTATTATCTAGCGATTCGAAATTACTATATCATTTTATTCCTATATGCTGTTTACGTAGAAATTTGTTTTATAATATCCTAGAAAATGCTCAACGAACGCTGGATATTTTTATTTAAATACTTTGGTTACTTTATAAAGTCTATTTTCATATTGGCACAATTTACAGCTTCAATCTTTGATAGTATGAACTGAATGATTTATGTCACCTAAATTTCAACTGTCTGCTTACTTTTTTATTTTATAAAACGAAAATGAATATTGTTCATAAAATTGAGATATATAGCTTTCACATCAATGCCTTTATCTTACGGACCAATATATTAATAATTAAAAGAAAGAAGAAGCGAGCCATCGGAGTATAACGACTGATGATCTTATCAGTTTTTAAAAATAGATACTGTTATATAGCCGAGAAAATTATCTCTACCTCATAAAAGGTGTCAGCTTTCTCTACTTCATTTCCCTCGATACTTAAAAGGGATAAAGCTGCATCACAGTGAATGACGCTACGACCGATGTGACGAGGGAATACTCTGTGACATCACTTGCAATCAAGTGAGCTCATCGAAGGTCATGTGACGTCACGAAGCCCTATTCCACTCGATCGACATATTACGGGTCTAGCTGTGTAAGGTCCGTGCGCGAGCACGATGACGTCATTGAATTCTATTACGCTCCGGCAAGAGAGCACGCTCGATAATCTGGTTTTTCTGACGTCCTCGGAGCCTACGCGTGCCTATACCTCAATGCCTCCAATACTATATCGTTATAACGGCAACATAAAAGTTACGTTATACAGAAAATTGCGACGTAAAAACAGAGATCGTGACGCAAATAAAATATATCGAATCTTTAATTCACTCATGTTTTATAATTTCGTCACCTATTATAATCATCTTGTATGAGATGATGCATTTGAAGTTAAGAGATTCTTTCACAAAAAAATTAGAATAATTCTTGTAAAAACTTATATATATTTTTTTTTAGATATTTTGAGGTCCGATCTTTTTCGAATACTGTCTGCCGTAGCGATGTAACGAGACACGCTTCCAATCTTAGGTCCATTTGCAAAAAATAATCCTTTTGGTGCCTTCGACAATCTTTGAAAATTTTTCTGTCAATTGAATTTGCAAACACTCTGTATTAGCTTATATATAGATAGTCAAATGTAATGATACGTTGTGTAACTACTATAATTGTATATAAGCTTCTTAGACATAGCAAAGAAAATTTTTATCCATATTCTCTGTAGTTTATATGTATTCTAGAAACATTATTTTTATTCGTATGTCAAGCATAAAATAAATACAAACATAGTTATAAAAGAAAAATGTCGACCTTTGGCGAGGATTTCTAAGAAGGTGGCTCTTATATAAATACAATTCAAATAGTTCCAAACTGTCTTTCCTCAACGTTATAAGCTTTTCATATTATTATTTAAATACCGTGCATATGAAGTGTTTTATTTCATTGTTACTTAATATTTTAATAAAAAACTAAAATAGTTTAGTTATTTTAATTTTCGCAAAAATATTAAAATTAATTAAAATTATACCTAGAAACAGTGTTTGCCTGTATTATTATTCAAATAAGTTGCAAAAAAATAAATCTCGGAATAAAATAAAAGGAAAATCTTTGTGATTCATGTAAGTTGTATTATATGTGATTTTCACTTCTGTTAATATCATAAAGATGCAAATTAGTATACTTACGATTTTATTTTAAATTCTTTACCTATAAGATAGTAATATATCAGAATTATAATTATATAAAAACAGTTACGCGAGGTAATCAATTAATGTAATCGTGGGGCGAAGTCCCTGAAATCATTATAAAATTTATATAAAATTTCGATATATAATCCGACAATTACAAGAAATAATTGTGTAATATTAGATAAAATCGTTTATTTTACCAAATGACCGCATATATAGTGAGGAAAAATTATTTGTCATCAAATAAAATTATATAAAATTAAATAAAATCATGTAATCTGTAGGACAATATTTTAGATAGTGGTTACCCTCTCGCAGTTACGTGTTACTTTTGAATTATATTGTAATATAAGTATATAATTTTGACGCTTATAATATTTCTTAACAGCATAATATTGCCAAATATGAGTCGTAATACGAAAAGTCATAACAATAAAGACATGCGAAAAAGATCTGCATTGTCATTCATCGGTGGAGATGGTTCACTTGATGTTGACCATGTTTTACAATCCAAACCTTGGGAAAATATTAAAGAATTTGAAGAAAGCGAGGCTGGTTGTATTCAAAATGTACTAAATGATTTTGTCAAAGCGGTTACACAAGAGAAAAGTGTTGAAGCTAAAGAGGGACTATTAAAGACGATTAAAGGTATAAAAAAAATAAGATTTCATTAAAACTCATTATTATTTTAAAAAATTTGTTTAATTTCACTGTAAAAATAATGTTTTATTCATTTAAAATAAATGGTTTTCTAATCTGATATAGTATAACTAATTATACGTATTTATAATATTTTTGTAATATAAAATAAAAATAATTATAAAAAATTCCTTAAAGACATCTTTACACATTTTATTTACTTTTATCATTAAGAATTACTTTTTGTATTTTCTATCCATAATAAATAATTTTAATTACTTTCAATGATTACTAAATATTATGAAAATCTATATTACATCTGCAATAATGACAAAGCAGAATGTTAAAAAAGAATTTTGCTAATTTTTTAATAAATTATAAAATCTTCCGAGTATGGATGGAAAATTATTAAAAAGTTCATAGCATTTGGAGAACAATTCAAAAATTGAGCATAAACATAGAGTTTTGTTCAAATTTCAATAATTGCATGTTTTTGCTCAATATTCAAGGGGATATCCCCAAACGCCATAAATTTTTTATAATTTTGTCGTATTCATTAGATCAGAATCTACAAAAAGCAATATTTCTTTTACTTAATTCTTAGACAAAACTTTTTGGATAAAAATTGGCTCTTTTATAATATTCTCCATTATAGTATTATAATATAATCAAAAGTTACATTTAATTAAAATAAGTAAAAAACAAAACAATGTTAATAAAATTAATGAATAGATTCTACGAAAAAAACTCCAAGATCTACAAAAAAAGCTTCAACGAAGTCTTCGATAAAGGATTTATCAATGGATTTACCTGGAACTTCATCAAGTACTATTAGCAACATCGTTGAAACAAATGTTACACTACGTAAGAATAAAACTTTAAAGAAGCAAAGTCAGTTCGAGGTTTCCGATATAGAAATGATTCCGCAAGAACTCTCACATAATATTGATGATATAGAAGAAGAAATCCAAAATGTTTCAGAAGCCAACACCAAGAAGATTATTAATTCAAATAAAACAATAATTAAAAAAGAGATCTTTCAAGATATAACAAATGTCACTGAAAGATGTCTACAAACAAGCACTCCTAAAAAAATATCTCCTAAAATAATAAAAAGGATGGAGGAAAAGAAAGAATCAATGGTAGAAAATAAAAAACAAAATACGAGAAATTCAGAAACTAAATCAAAGAAAAATGTTCAGCACAAAAAAATACAAAAAGGATCAGAAAATACGGAAGAGCAAGATAAAAGTAATTAAAACATTGATTATATTTTTCACAATTTTTATATACTTGGATTATTCTTGTTAATAAAAATGCATTATTTTTTAGGTAATACAAATGTTCTTAAAGAAGGGGAAAAAACAAATATAAATTTGGAAAATCATTTGGAAAAAATAATTCCGCAGAAACTCCCACATAATACTAATGCAAAAAAAGAAACTAAAAAAACTTCAAAAGTTATCGCCAAGAAGAATGTCAATTTAAGTAAAAAAATTAAAGAAGGAATCACACAGGACCCAATAAATATCGCCGAAAAAGATCTGCAAACCAGCACTTCTAAAAAAGAAACCAGCATCTCTAAAAAAGAAACATCTAAAATACGAAAAAAGACGATGAAAAAGGAAAAATCAACGGCAGAAAATAAAATATCAAAAACGAGAAGTTCAGAAAATAAATCACAGAAAGGTGTTCAGCACAAAAAAATGCGGAAAAAATCGAAGAACAGGGAAGAGCAAACTAAAAGTAAATAAAAATTGATTATATGTTTCACAACTTTTACATATAATATATTCCAAATAATTATTCTTGCGTGTGTTAAAAAAATATATTATTTAATATTTTCCAGGTAGCGTAAATATGCTTGAAGAAGAAAAAACGAATGTAAATGAAAAAGAAGTAAATGTAAATTTGGAAAATAATTTGGTATGCAATAAAGTGAATCACACTTCGTCAAAAAATAAAGCAGAGAACAAAAAAGCAAAATGTAAGTATAAAAGAGATGTTAAAATACATATCTCTTTTTCTCAACTGCTTCGATAATAATTAAATTTTTCTTAACTTCCGCAACATTTCTTAGCAAAGTGGAGAGTAAATGTGAAGTAGCAGAAATCAATAATATAGAGGAGAATGCTAAATCCTAAATCTAAGGAATATTAAAATCATAATATAGATTTTTGTAACAAGTTAAATCTTGAATTTGCTACTTGTTTTAATAATTGCATACTTTCCAGATAAAAACAAGCCTAACCAATTGAAAAAGAAGAGTTTGAAGAAAGAAAATTCCGAGAACAAGCTGCAAAAAAGCACTCAGTTATGTACACCTCTTAAATCGCACATAAATAACACGGAAAACATAAAATGTCAATGCGAAAGTAAGAGGAATATCCAAATAACACATACAATATCTTTATATACATACACACACAATCTATTGACAAAAGTTATTTTTAATAAATTTACATCAAATATAATAATTACTTTCCAGAAAATGCTGCAAGTTGTTCTGATAGTCAATGTTCTTCGAAAACAAAAGAAGATTACGAGAAAAAGAGACAACGTGAAAAGAGTCTAAAAGCAGCAAAAGCTATCGAGGGTCTTAGCCGACATATAACGGTCGTGAAGAGAAAAATGGAATGCATTAAAAACGATTTAGGTAAAACCTTAAATATATGTTATTTCAAAGAATTTTTTATGTTTACAAGAAATTCGTTGAATTTTGTCACGACATTAAATGTTATGCACGCGAGGCAATTAATCTCTGTCGTCACACTTAAGACAAAATTCACTTGTCATGTTGGACAGTTTAATAAATTCTACTGAAAATTTACACGCGAGAGTCACGCACTCATATCCCAAATATGATATTTCCCGAAACTAAATCTTTTGTTTTTTTTTCTTTCTTTCAGAAAGCAGTGAGTCATTGGATTTTGATCATAGTTTGAATGAAGAGCCATCATGTTCGTCCTTGTCAACGGATTCATCATATACCTCCGATTCGTCATATTCCTACTCGTCCTGTTCGTGCAGTGATATTTGTTCATGTTACTATACAAGCGAATACTCCAGTGACTCTTCTAGTTCTAGTAGGAGTAGCAAAAGCTACAGTGAAACTGAAACTACAAGCGAAATAGAAGATTAGTTATGTGTTAAAGCAAATTAGAACAATGTTATAGTATATAATTTCAATTTCATGTACGGGTTCCTCTAACATTTTATTAATACTTAACATAAAGAATATTGAAATATTAGAAGAAATTACACAAGTCAAAATCAAAATTTTATTTTAATAAAAGTCAAAGTACTATATTTTATTATTATTATTATGACTAAGAAATTTGTTTATTTATGTACGTATATTTTATTTTTTTGTTATTTATTATGTAATAGCCTATCATAATTGCGTACCTTCCGTCATTCAAACTGCTTGAGTTTAGAAAATGTTATTTTTTGCAAGGTTTTTAACGATACGATCAAATAAAAAAATAATATTTAAAATAACAATTAGATATATCGGCGCGTTTAATTGAGAATAATTAATTATATAATGCTTAAAATAAATTATATGTAATGTAATTATTTGTAATTGTAATTTTATGAGTTTTATTTAAAGAATTTTGTGTAAAAATCAATAAAGGAGAAAGAAAGCACAATCTTAAAACGATTCTTTATTGAAATATTTGATTTTCAACCTGCGACTCTCATGGATATAAATATTTCGTTAAATATTTCACGAAGTCATTTTGATCACGTTAATCAGTCAAATCATATCACACACACATCGCCAAATGCTGACAAAATGAAATCCCATTTTACGTTTTTTATTTCATGACACAAGTTATAAATATAATATACTAAACAAATTACATTTCTATTTTTAATATACTATTTCATTTTAAACATGTGATCTAATATACTGCCAATTCTATGGAAAGATTTGTACATGCATGTATTGATCCAATATATATTGAATTCTATTAACAGCCTTCAAACCTCTCGCTTTTATTTACCTTTATTTCTAATTACTCATAACTGGAAAGCTTTCGGTTTTATCGATAATTTTTTTAAGATAAACGCTTTCAAATTTATCAGAGCATTATTAGCACATAAAGCACGAACACAAATATGCGGGTACTCCTATGGTATATAAACGATTCACAAATGACCCTTGAATGGGAGCAATGAACGCATGTGGGGTGTTTTTCTTTTTGATCAAATGCATTAAAATAATGCATGCAACGCGATTCTTAAATTAGTCATCGTCGCCTCTTTACCCGTGTTGCTACTATTCGCAGCGTTTCGGCACCTGCTTCATGCGCTGCCGTGTTTTTTCTTAACTTCTAACTGAAAACAGAGAAGTCTAAAAATAGACGGTTTGACGCACATGCGGTGTTAAGGTAAGTAAGCAACATGAACCGTATGTTTGCTTCTTTCCCTCGGACGATAATCTCTGGCGCCGTTTGTCGTTCCCGCAAATGTGAAACAGCTACTGCGCAATTAAGGAAGTATACTGAGTCCTGTACGAGTTTATCTCAACCATATAGAACAAAAGAGAATCCTCTTATAAACGAATCAAGATTATCAGCGCTGCTACTGATATATTATAAGACAAAAATACTATGTACATCATATGGAAGCAAAGCTCTAATAATCGAAATTATAAAATAAATTACAGAAATAAATAAAGTATATTTTTCTATTATTTATATCTTTGCTGGTAAGAATAAAACTTTTTATTTTTTCTATATGTATTAATTTTTTCTTGCCGTAATGTTTAATCGTAATGTTCTATTTCCTCGAAAAGTGGATTACAAAATAACCTAATAAAAAGCACCAATCTAACTATAATTGTTGAAGTTACAATTAAACTTGTCGATAAATATAAATAGAAAAGATAAATAAAGTAAGAAAAGCAACAAGGAAAATGAAAGATACAAGAAAGAGAAAAGCTTGATATCAGAGTGCAATATTTTCGTAGAATTGCGTTTTTTTCTCAATAGTGACGCGGTATGTGTCATGTATATATTTTGGTTTATTACAGCTGCAATGATTAATGTCCGTGGAAACAACGGCAAAAATAAAAGCATTCTTAGACACCCATTAAACCAAGCCAAAGTTAAATCAACTCTTTGAGTTAGCGGAAACTGAGAAATCTCTTAGAATCTTCTTGTTATAAAATCTCTTAAAATCTGCAGTTGCAATGGTACAAAGAAAGTAATCCGAAAATCCAGCGTCAGAGTCATAATATACTTTACAAAGCAGAAAACTGTTTACATTGAAGCTCTTTATTAAATATATTGAATTAAATATACTAAACTACTCTGCTCCAGAAAATTAAGATCAACTATTCCGCTTTTGAAGTAGGCAATTTTCAATTTTGATTATTTATCAATTTATGATTATTTCGAAGATGATCATAATGGGATGATTTAAAAAGATACTAAAGCGATGTATATACATAATAAATGTATCTTACAGAGACAACATAGACTTTTTTATTTGTTTTTTTAATAAATACCGAGCTCAATTTCATTCGTTTTCTACATAATGTTAACTCAGTGAAAAAATTGCACAACAATCAACAAGCGCATAAATTAAAAATAAAGATTTACTCTTTCAAAAATTGTAAATTATATTTGTGTGCAATTTTTAATTTTCACGTCATTAACTTTGCCAAGTTTATAAAAAATTTTAGGATTTAATGAATCTCTCTCCATTGTATCCGTGTAACACCGGGAAAAATCAAATCATTATCTAAAGTATCAGTTTGACAAATAGAGACTTCAGGCTTTAAAATGTTTTTTCAATCATCTTTCATTATAATTATTTTTGACCAAGTTAGCTCTTGTGAAAATTATGTATTTTTAAAGGGCAGAATAGATGATCCCTTAATCTTTTAGCATATCAATTTATATATTATAAATTATAATATTCCGTCAAAATTAGATTTTAAGAAAAATTGATGTCAAATTCAGCTAGAAGATAAAACCAGAGAATATAAGCAGAATGTTAAAGGGATAAAGAAGAACTCAAAATCTAAATACGTCAGTTTGCGATGAAAATCTTTAGTTTTCCAATATAGACGTTTCGTCAGAGTTCCGCGAAACCATTGACTCGATAATTATATACCTACTCTCAATTCGGTCGCCAGTGGCACTCCGCGAGAGCTCTCTTGTTCTTCTTCTTGCGCTTTTTACTCATAAATTGCGTCATTATTGTATACGTGCATGCGACAATCTAAATTGCTCTCATCTCGCGGATTCACATGTGGGCGACATCGATATGTGTATCTATCTGTATATTTGTCTTCGCGTAGGTGGACTACATTCACAGACTCATATCGGAGGTAAATTCTCTTCGACACAACTCTGCCCTTATATACTTTTCTTCTTTCCTTTCCTTTCCTCTCGTTTTTTATACTTTTTTCAAGCTCCGTCCTGATTCGCTTTCCAGTCAATATTCAGCATTCGAAGAACTCCTCGCGCTACATCCGTCTTAATGATACTGTCTCGTGTACCGTTGTTTACTCAACGTCGACATATAAGAAAATAGACTTTTCCCGGGAACAGCTTAAGCTGGATTCAGTAAAATGTATAAAGCTAAATGTGAATTATTTTCAATACCTTTTCCTGCAAATTTCTAAGTATCATTAGATGACAAGATGTGTACTCGCGAAAGTATATGATCGTGGAAGAAGTCTCCCACGAGTGATAAACGTTCTTAAAGTTCAGTGGCTGCTTGGCAAGCGCACGAGACTAGTATTGCACGATTAGCCAGTCACTTCACAAAATAGACAATAGCATCCGCGAAAATCTAATTATAGTTAAAGAAGACATTACCGCGAAGCAAAATCTATCCGATTACGTCACACATTTACAGGCTTACTTTTTTTGTTGCTAATAAAACTCAGTGATATCTCGGGATTTCCATGTCTATAAATTAACTCTATTATTCTGTTTGCTGTCTCACAGGATCTGTACTTATTATTAGATACATGTATGTACACGTAGTGTACAAGTTCGATGACGCCAATATATTTCCATGCATCCTAAGTTCCGTTTCTCGAAATTTACCGACGTCAAAATCTTTCGCGTAATTTATGAATTAGGGGACGTGAGCCAATGATTCGCTGCGATTACACAATAATTTGTACTTATAATTTTTTATTTCCATTGCGCGACCGTTTCTCCTATTTATATCTTTAATATCCGGCTGTATAGTCTCGAACATCTCTATGGACTCTCTTGGTATACTTGACATACATTTTAAAAATACTTTCAGGTGTAAATTCGGATTCGCGACGAATGCGTAATCTGTATTATTTAACAACGTGGTGAATTTAAAACAACTAATATCGATTGAAACATATCCGCAAGAGGCAGGTATGAAATTTGTAACAAATCCGGGGCATTTCACACAATCGTTCGCATTTAGATCATTTTCAATTACAAATACAAACAATTTAAACTTTTTAAAATTACAATGCGATAAATGCATACAAGGGGTTATAATTATAATAATAAATTATAAATCATTGAAAATGCAGAAGTCGATCATAGTCACGTGATGCAATACCTCTTTTATTTGGCTTTATATTCATGGAAGCTGGGAATATTAAACGAGCGGCGGAAAGTCAATAAATTCACTTTAAGTCGATTCGTGTCAATAATCCATTCGTGCAGGTACAAAAATATACTTTGCAAATTCAACTGGTACCAAAATGGCTTTATGCTTGTAAAATTCACAGCCAGGCAGACAATAAAGAGCAATTTAAAAGGATAAAAGATGGATATTATTCTCTCCCTATAAATCAGTAAGAAAAAAATATTATAGCTGGTCATATCTAATTTCTATGTATGTATCTATAAGGTTCCACTTACCATATCTCACGCAAGAATTCTTATTATTCGTGAATAGTTATTGAGTCCTTGCTCCTAAATCTCAAGAATGCGCTATTATCGAACATGTATGAGCAATATATTCGGTTATAGAAAATTAATGGAAGCATGAGAGAGAGAGAGAGAGAGAGAGAGAGAGAGAGAGAGAGCGTCAAATTTAATACAAATTAAATTTTTAATAAATCCAATATACTTGTGTGCATAATACGATTAATATTTACTACTATCTTTCTGCAATTAACATGAATCGATAATTTGATCAACATATACAGAGTATACAAATAAAACCTTTTTTGTCTGAAGTCTAAACATTTGATCGACGTACAGAACTAAAATTAGATCTTTTTTATCTATACATGAATATGGCAACTTATTCTAAGGATAGCACATATAATCGATCAATGACGACACGTGGAAAAATTCTGCGGTGTATCCCATCCCAGGTGACTTCCTCTATTTATCGAAGTGTCCGTCTCAGCGTAACAACGCGACTCGTCGATTCGCATAATGTGCTTGTTAAAAAAAGCCACCGCGCGATGCGGCGTTACGTTCGTCCTACAACCGACGTCGTCGTGTATCCCGCACCCTTTTACAATCCACGTCTGCGCGCCTCCCGGCCGGGTCTATAAAAGCGACGCGGAGCGTCACGACGCTCCAGACGTTTGAGATACGCGCACCACGGAAAATGTAACCAAGCGGTCGTCGTATCGATACCTCGCTATTGGAGTCTCTATTTCCGTCTCTCAAGTGACACCTGCTCCAAAAGCGAAATTGTCGGAGGATACTGCTGACACAACTTCTATTACTCGTATTGACTTGATTCGACGTTTGTGATACTTGTGAGCAGCTGATACACGCGCGTGTCAGGACTTATCGCGATATGAAGATGTAACAAGTTAATCGGAATTTAGTCGAACCGAAGTGATTTGACGCGTCCTTATCGATATACATTGAACACAGTGTACCAGAGTGAAGTGACGTTTCTATCAATTGTCATACGAATTTTATCGCCGTGGTACGTATCCATGCTGTGTTATCACTTCGCAATCATTGTAGCTGCGTAACTTTAATGTATACGACCCTGCACAAATTTTCTAGTGCCGATATTTTAATTCTCAGCAAATATTTTGTTGAATTTTGCAACGAAATCTTGGTCTCAATTTAAAAAATTCATGAATATTGAAATTCGTTTTTTATATGATGACAGTCTAAAAAACATGTTTGCTGAGAGTTAAAAATTCATTATAAAAATTATGCTTTTAAAATCATGCTATGTTTGATGATGTTTACAAATTTTTATATGCATTTTTGTTAAAATGTATTACAAAAAAATAAGAAATGCAAAAAATTGTAATAAATTATTTTAACGAACCATAAGAAACCTTAAAAAGTATTATTATTATCGACTATAGCACACTATACATATATACTTATAAATAAGAGCTTAACATAGACGATTTCCGTGACACTTGTGGCTCGTATAAGTTGTCGATTTCTATATATATATCGACTAAATTGCCTCATTAAACACAGTATATGCACAGACGCACGCACGCACACCAAAGTATAACGCTACTAACTCGCGTGTATTAAAATAGAGTGCCCAGTAAACATAAATGCTAAATATATCTGTGCCTGTGAGGCTTGTCAGAATTAACCGGTCCGAACCGGTGGTTATGTGAAAAAATAACCGTGACACAAAACAATGAACAGAAAATAGAAAAACGGGACATTGTTAACTCGAGTTTGTCAAATTGAAGTCATTACATTGCAAACAGTGAATTCAAATATGAGCGACGTTTTTACGATGATCGTACAACAAATACACTAGGCAAGGACACGTAATATTGTACATCTCGTTAATATTATAATTGAAATGAAAAGATTCTCAATATGAAACGTCCCATACTCGTTATGATGCATCGCGTTATTAAAATATACATGACCATGCCACCCACAAGTCTGTCGCGTCATACTGCATTCGTTTCGTCACATGATGACATTTAAGCTGTGTCTCGGATCTCCAGAAATTTATGGAACGATTCAAAGTAGATAAATGTTCCTCGTTAAATGAACGATGTTTGTTTTTGTGCGATTTAAATGTCTCTTAATGATTTGTGTGTTGTAGTTTCATGAAAAATGACCTTTTAAAATTACTAAGAACGTGGAACCATCTCTAGCTCATTAGCCGTTAAATCTTTTTTTTTTAGATATCCAAAAATCTGGAATATATATACTTTTATACGAATCGTTTCGTATTAGACTAAATAACAATATATTATAAAACAAACTTAAGTAATAAATAATATAAATGCAAATAACTGAAAGTTCACAAATATTAATTTTTGTATTTTTAAGAAATTCAACTGATTATATATGTGAGTGACGTAAAATAACGATTAACAATTTATCGTACCTTCTATCTCTGTCTATCTGGCTTTCAATTCATTTAAATTACATTTTAAATGTAAACTAAATATATAACATTTCAAATTATCCTCGATTCGCCCAAAATAAAGAAAACTATCGATCTGCCATCTATATATGTATATCTATCTTTTACCATTCACGGTCTCTTTTATGACACATTTAACTCGGTTTTCTTATTTCTCGTTACAATTGCGATTAAATTGGACGACAAATCAACGAATACATGACACTGTGTCGCGAAAACAAACATCGCGTGCAAGCTTGGCAAGTTTTGGGATTCGGCGTCGACCAGACTCACGCGTCGTCGACCAAAGCGTAAACGGTCCTCACTATTGATCTAGCGAGGGTCTAAATGTCCTGGGTTCACCCGGCCACCCTCCGGCCTGACTCTCAGGCTTTCCGCTGCACCGCGAGAGTGCAGCTCTTATCAACGATAAAACGGCAAGGAAAAAGTACCACGATGATGGCGCGCGAAGAGAACGAGGATTGCTATTTCCAGTGGCAATGTTCCAAAAACTCTTCATGCCGCGCACTCTATTAACAAAATTATCGATTCTCAAGAAGCGTGATCATAAAATCAAGTGAAAATGAACACGTTTCTATTTGCATGAGATAGCAGATGCAGCGCGGTGTTTAATGACGCACGTGCGAAATCACGCGGCCGGAAGAGAAACGGCACGCAAAACCACAAGGAGTATCGTTAGATGGATCAATGTCTGCTTAATGTTACTGTTATGCAATAACGATAAATGGATTCCGATAAAATCTAGTTTGTGCATTTTACCGAAAATACACGATTTTCATCATACATGTTATATAACATAACTACATAAATTTTCAATACTTACTTTTATCTGCAAATTCTTTGAATTCATTTATAATTGAATTTTCCATGTCAAAATTTAAATCGTACATCAGCTTTTCTTATAAATTTCAAACAAAGTAACATACAGTTCTAGATATTAACTCTCAAATTAGAATAATAATTAAATATGTAAAGTAATTTTACTTTTTATTTAAAAACTAAAGCTTTATTATATTATATATATGTGCGTTCTTTATTTAAATGTAATCAGTAAAAATACAGATCTCTTAAGTAAATTTTTCTTTTCTTTTTCAAAAAGATTTCATGGAAAAAGATGTACATTTTCATTTAAAGAATGGTTACGTCATCGAGGGACAATCTTTTTCCCAGACGGCTTCTACCTCGCGCGACCCACAATATCGCACGTGTTCTCGATATATCATAGAACCGCGATTGATCTACGCGTTGCTATTTATGAACTAGAACGCGCGTTGCACGATAGGAGAAGAAGTGTGAATATTATCTTTTTACAGAAGGAAGCGTGGGAACGTTTCTCAATACGATCGTACGTTTGTCCCGTTGACGATTGTAGGCGTCGTATATGAGATCCATTGTCCTTACGAGACAAAGATAATATTCCTTTAACACAGAGTTATCCGAGTATAAAATCAATGTTGAAGTCCTTCAATGTGGACAGATGAAATTCTAATTTCCGGTCTCGACGAAGAGGCGGTCTATACAAAATGAAAATGGCAAGGACAAATACGTTACGCACCTATGAAACAAAAATAGCAAGAATTAAAAAGTCAGTCTTTGTTACAATAATTAAAAAATAGAATGAAATAAATTAAAATGATAATACGATAATATTAAGTGTCTTAAAAAAAGATAACTGATTAAAAATAAAATAAAATAATTCTCTTTAATTTAATCGTATTATTATATTCAATTTTTTTTTTTTAAAGATCCATATAAATATCGCTTGTTATACAAATTTGTATTATTTTTCTGTATCCAAAAGTAGAAAGTTCAATTTGTTTAAAGCTTGTATTTTTTTTTGTTCCAGATGAAGCTGCACGAAAAGAAGGAATCAGGCATCCACAGAATCCAAGAGGTGCCTCTCGAGGAATTGGACTTATCAAAGGAGTACAATGTGGAGAAGACTCTAGGCGAAGGTAGTTTCGCGAAAGTTCTATTGGCAACGCACAGAACCACTCAGACAAGAGTGGTCCTAAAAGCAGTTCATCAAGAACTCACGTCGGAGAAGGACTTCTTCCGAGAATTCCATTATTCGTATCACTTAAGTCCACATCCTAATATACTCTGCTCATACGCAGTTGCCTTTAAGGCGGAGAAATGTTTCGTCTTCGCGCAGGAATACGCGCCCTACGGCGATCTCGCTGGCAATGTGAAAGCCGGCGGGCTCAACGAGGATGCCTGCAAAAAAATCGCTGGTCAACTTGCCTCGGCCCTCGATTTTATCCATTCGAAACAACTGGCCCATCGTGACATCAAGCTGGAGAACGTGCTAGTGTTCGCGCAGGACATGAGCAAAGTGAAGTTATGCGATTTCGGCTGCACAAAGCGCGAAGGCATCCTTGTGAATAAGATCCGTTGTACCTGGGTGCCGTTCCAACCTCCCGAGATTCACGAAATCATCAAGAATGAAAGGTATGCTTGCAAGAGGAGCTCAGACTGCTGGCAGTTTGGCATTGTCCTCTTTGTTTGCCTGACCGGTAACCCGCCATGGCAGAGCGCCGATCCGATCCAAGACCCGGATTACTCAGCCTTCCAAAGATGGTTGAAGCGACGTACCACCAAAATCCCACCGACTTTCCGCCGTTTCACTCCTAGGCTACTCCGATACTTCAGGCGAGCATTTGAACATAAGCCGGAGAAAAGGCCTCACGTGACCGAGATCAACAAGTACCTCAAGGATTCGTGGTGTATCAGTAAGATCAGCCACAGTGCGACATCGACGTCAGTCGATGTTAGCGAGAGCCTTGCCAGGCGAGGCGATAGCCTACTCTATCTAGATACTATCTTGGACGATCGACACAACGTGGATGAGAACAAGAACAAATTAAGAAAACTACTTAACAGTTACGGCCTGGAGACTACGGTAGACCAGAAAGTCGTCACTAAGAGGATATGGGAATGGGTAATGCAATGTGACTCTAACATAGACACGGAGCCCGGTCTGATCAGCAGCTTCAGCACGGAGAACATGTGAGAGATAGTGAGAACTTGCAGCGAGCCATGCCTTCGGGTCACTCAAGAGGAACGGAGTAAGTTCCGAAAGGGCAGCTTCTACATGCCGACCTCGTACAGATGTGCCAAATAATCAGCTAGAGCTACCTAGCCGAGAGACACTTTCCGGAACTCATTCGAGTGCCCCGCAAAGGAAGTGGAACATGACCCTGTTTCAGCGATGTTTCCAAAGTGTCGAAAAGCTAGTCACAAGCGGACCAATTACCGAACTTCTTTAATTAGTAAGATTGCGGATAAATTCGAGGGACAATGATATTTGTATAGATTGGTGTTAAAAACGGTGTAATCGCAATTAATACAACAAAAGTTAATATACAAAAGATATTTAGAATTTTATGTTGATTTGGAAATTTGAAACAGAAATGAAATATGTCTCTTGATCGTAACATGCTCTAGCAATTAAGTATAAATGTGATATATAAATATATAAATAGAAAAGAAAGAGAGAGAGAAAGAGGAAATATATGAACGGTGGTAAACTCTGATAATTAGCTTGATGTACTAACTATAGAGACAATAATACCGGTACATATGATTTTCGCATTAATCAGTTGTTCTGGTAAACCAATGGTCTTAGTAATGCCTTATGCGCAATGAAGCGCAAGGTCAGACAGTTATTTAAAATTATTATTTTGTACATCGTTCAAATCTGAAATCCCTTTCTGTTTGATATTACTTATTATTGTTAGTGGTGTAATTTCGATTGTTAGGCAAGAAATAAGGAAACAAGAAGACTGTATAATCCAGGGATTCCTAGAATTGGAGATCATAACTCCAAACTTAGCGTAGTTCGTGAAAACATTTTCGGGAAACAATCTATTCTTATTCCAAATATTCGGTAAATGGAGGAAGATTTTAATTACTATGTAAATTGAGAAATCTATATCACTATCTTTTAAAATTTTTTATCACAATATAAATTCAATAAATAATTTGTATCGAGAAAATAATGCCGAAGAAGTTTAAGAATCTATCGTAACCGGAAGATGCGAATAGGGATCATAACGCGAGATGGATTGTTATCGGAAGTATCAACAAGATGTAAATCACACAAATGTAGATACATTTACATAGCCAGGTATATATATATTCGCATTCGTGCTAGACATGTATATGTAAATATGCGTGTGTACGTATATACGTAGGCAAATATAGTACACATATATTCTTGTAGCAATTTATGGTGTAACGTATAGAGGTTCCGTTTGTACAATTAGTTACGCCATTTCGTAACGGTGATGTAAGTATAGCGTAATATTGCATGCACGTTGCGATTCCAACAATTGTAATAATCTTTCGCTAACGATCTTGCATTAAAACGCCTGAGAATAACAATATGTGAAACGGGCGTTTCGCGACGAATCGGCCAAATTAATCATTTGCTTTTTGCGATTGGGTATTTTAATCTACACGTTAATTCATATCAGAAATTAATATAATACTTCCAATTATAATTTTATTACGTTAATTACATTATACATAATGATATCGATTTCTATCCTCACGTACGATCGTATGATAAATCGATGAAACTGATTTACATTTTATGAATATTATCCGAATTACGCGAACATAAAATTATAAGACTGAACTCTAAAAGCTCCTAAGTAATGTATTGAGGAAAAAGAGGCGCCAGTTTATTTTTATTCGCTTTCGACGCACGTAATTTTCCGCAGACATAAAATCACCACTAAATAAATCGCAACGTGTGAGACTCGTGCACGATCTCTCTCTAGAATATCTCGCAAGTGGATCATTATCCGGATGAATTGTGTACTCGTAAAGATCAGCGTAAAGAACGCGTTAACTATCGGAATCCATGCGAATGCGTGTTTCTATATATTTATACATTGAATGTGGAAGTATATACGTGCGAACATTATGACGTTGCTACTCTATAATATTCGGACAATCGTTATTATCTCACTACTAGTCCTCCGTATTGTCCGAATTGACTGAGTGATAAGATAAATGAGGAGGAACTTTTGCGAGGAAACCGGCGTGCATAGTCTCCATTAATACGAAGCAATGTTTTGTATATATTGAAATAAATCTTGAAATTGCATAAAATTGATATAAAAAGTGTTATTAATTTTCCCACGACTCTTATTTTAATATGTATAATCATATATGTATGATATATAGTATGTATTTTACTTATGCTTCACAATTAAAATAATGAATTTTTATTATAATAGCATTTACATTAACTCTGTTTAAATTTGTTTACCAGATTAAGATTCTTACCATATTTGTTGAGCTTGATTTCATTCGAGAAGCTTGACATCAAAGTAATTATCTACCTTGCCTATATATAAATCCATTATCTAGATTATGTCTTGTGTAACTTTTAGCGAGAGTGCAAATTGAATTGTGCATCGGCGGATTAATTAGGGCGCGTCGTTCAGATTTTTCAACCTACACGGTCTACATCCGACTATAGTGTAGAATGGGGTGGTTAGCCATGGCTCGGGTGTCGCTATGACAACGAACCCTGGATACCCGGGCTAACTGAAAGCGAATCACTCTGCCTCTCGTTCCCCGGAATCACCCTATCGAGGCGAATAGATGCGCGATGTAACAATTGTTATGTACATCGTATCTTATACTTTTTACTTTTTAAGGCTCTTGTAGCCTCGTTATGTAATAATTGACAGAAAGATCGACAGATGTACAAATTTCTAAATCATACATGAAAATTATCAATAATATATTGCACACAATATCAAGCAGGGAATATCACGTCATTCGATATTTGCACATTGAGAAATTAAGCATGCGCACCATTAGTAAGGTCATTAGTCAACTTTAATTATGTAGAAATTCGAACCAGCTCGACCTTGATGTCAGGGTAAGAGCACGCGAATGCGAAATTATTACTTTTTTTCTTTGGAAGTGCACGTGAACGGCCGAGGCAAAGGTGAACCTTGCAAGAGGCAGTCTAATTATTCTGCGAGTCTCGAGAACACTCGAAACTTCCTTTAATGTAGAGAAGAGAAACATATACCTTTGTTCTTGAACAACATAATTTTGATAATATTTAATGATATCTTCAAGTATATAACATATTATATTTCATTATTTTTTTAAATTAAAATTATAAAACTTTTTCATTCATTTAAAATTGTAAAACTTATTAATATAATACGCAAAAGTAATGTATTTAAAATAAATAATAAATTGGTAATTCTGAGAATACATTGAGAAAATGAAAACATCAGATAATAATTAAAAATTGAACCTTTAGTTCTTTTAAAACAATTTAATGCTAACCAATTAATTAAAGTTTATAAAATATTTTTGAAATACTATTTTCTTCGTAATATATTCTCTTCATTTATTTAATAAATTACATTTTTAAAATTTTTGAATATATTACATTTTTTAATTTTATAATTCTCTCTTTTCTATGACACTGATTTTACCTCAATATTGTCTTTGCACATTGTCTTTTCTTTAATTGATACTACATCCAATTTCTCATCAAATACATCTGCACGTTTGCTGTTTTCGTGACGTTTGATGGGAGCACCTAGATGTCATTTACTCAATCCCAAGAGTGCCAAGATAAATTCATCGTCCGCGATGCGAAGTGTCCTGATATTCGTTGACACATGAGTACGTAACACTCCAAAGAATATTTTAAGACCTTTACTTATTTAATCATTACTGACCGACCCACAAGCTGTGACATATCCTCGGCCCACTTTCGCGTTTCTTCATTATACATATTATGTATTCCAATATATATTTGCAATCCAAATTTATAAGAATGTATACAATTTAATATCGTACACATATAATAAGCTCATTATTGCGGTGTCAATCAAGACAATTATAATAATTTAATATAAAAGACTGAGAAAAAAATGTTGAATGAATACTTTTTTAATAATTTGCTATTATAAAATCATCTTGTTAATAATGTTTAATGCATCGTCTACAATACACAAAATAAGAAGCAAGATTGACCAATCACAGTCGAGTATTTTTCTCACATTCAACTATATAAAAAAAAATTAGTCAATTTTTTACTCTTACTTCATACTCCGTGCAGACGACGCTTAAATATGTAATATTCTTTTTACTCCTTTTTCCTTTCCCTGTCTTTCCCGTGCTCCTTTCTCTTTGTTTTTCTTTTCTTTTTTTTCAGTTTCTTACATCCCTGTTTTCTTTCTTTCCCCTTTTCAGACTCTACTTTTTTCTCTTCCTTTTCTTCTCTCTTTTCTCCAGTTTTTAATTTCGCTGGCAACACCGGGTGTTCGAGGCCATTAGTTACGCCACTGGCGTGCATGCATCAAACGAATGTCTTGACATGCACCCGCGTTCCATCATCTTCCTTCCGATGCGCACGTATTTTAGACCGGCGTGCCGCTATTTCCATCCACGTGGCGAGTATTCTCAGCGGCTTGTTTTGACAAGCGCCGAACCGACTGGATACTTGACAGGACGCTATCTCCGCAAAGTGGACATCAAGTACATATACAGTGTGCAGGTATGTTTAAACGCATCGTCACATAACACAAGATGAGAGATTTAATCGATTGGTTCAACTCAAAAGTCAATAAATACACATGTAACATTTACGAGCTTTGGAAAAATAATAAAATTATTCAACAACAATTTGATATTTGCTTACCATTTCTCATTACTTTTATTATAATTATTAATATCAAATTAAATAGCTGAGTAAAATTGATAAAATTGTTAATTTAAAAAAAAGTTTGATATATTAAAACTAGGACGATAAATTAAAATAAACTCTCATTTTTTAAATTTACATCTATTTCAATAAAAAAAATTATATATAATATTTAATCTTCGGTGGTCACACACATCCTAAAAATTTCAAAATGGTCACACGGGATCCAACGGACAAAATAAAATTCGTTGCTACATGTATAACAAAACATGAAGCTGTAGCAAATTGAAAAAATTTCAGGACATTGTTTAAACATCCAGAATTGTGATCCCATTATTGAACTTGCTAATTTTTGAATTTAAAGTACTTAAAAAATTTCATAAATGAAAAAAGTCATACTTAGAAATATTTTAACCTGAAACTACCCTGAGATTCATTGGACCCTAGTGACCACTGAAAGTTAAATTAAAAAAAGTATTCAATAATAAGCAAATTTACATTTATTATAAAAAATAAATATAATATTTATAACTATTCAAAATAATAAATCTATCTTTTCTTTTATTACACCATAGAACAAAATTGTTGTGTAATAACCAACCGGAAGAGCGATTATAAAATTATCAAATGTTATCTCTTTTTTCTCTCTTA